TATTCGTGATGAAATTCAAGCATGATAGTGTGACTTCTTTATATTTGGCTGGAAAACCCCGAGTGGCTATCGTTAGAGCACCCCAGCATTTAAATGTGAATAAATCTTGTGTGTCTCGTACCATCGCTCGTTACCGTGATACTGGTAGCGTAGCCCGACGTCAAGGAAGTGGACGGAAGAAAACAGCAACATCAGCGGAAATGGTTTGAAAAGTAAAGAAGCGACTTGATCGAAACCCGCGTCGCAGTGGCCAAAAAACGGCTCGTGAGCAGAACATATCGCAATGTTCCATTCGGCAAATATTGAAAAATGAGCTCGGGGTCGGGGTAAAGCCATTGAAATTCCAAAAAGTGCAAGAACTTACACCGCAACAGAAAGAAAATAGACTCAAAAGAGCTAAAGAGTTGCTTCGCTTGGCCGAAAGTGGTGAACTGCCGAATTTGGTTTTCTCCGATGAGAAAACATTCGTTGTCCAGCAGTTTGTAAACAAACAAAATTATCGTGTTTTCTTGCCAAAGAGGTCAGCTGAAAATTTGCACCTTCGGTTGGCCACCAGAACTCAAAGCCGGCGCCGCCATGGTGATGGTGTGAGCCGCCATAACAGCCGATGGTCGCTCTTCGCTCGTATTAATCGACCGTGGCATCAAAATAAATGCCGACCGAATATTATCGCGAAAATATTCTGGAGGGTGTATTAAGGCCTTGGGCACGCAAACATTTTGGCAGCATACCTTGGATATTCCAACAGGACTCAGCAGCATCGCACTCAGTACACGCCACCCAAGAATGGTTCAAATGACAAAATGAGGTTCCTCGCTTCATTTCCAGCGCACAATGGCCACCAAAATCTCCGGATACCAATCCGTTGGACTATTATGTCTGAAGTATTGGAGTACGGATGGCAAGGTTGGCCCTAAAAAATACCAAAGTGTCGATCACCTCAAGCAAGCGCTTCGCCGGGAATGGGCCAAAATACCACAGAGCAACATTCGGGCAGCGTGTGGCGTTTTCATTGACCGTTTGAAGGTCAAAATTCGTGCCAAAGGTGACCAATTCGAACAAATCTAAACTTATTCTAAAATTTGATGCTACAGTTGCCCATATTCGACGGACCTATCTGGCAACGCCATAACTTTTGACAGAGATGTCACATCGCTTAATGACATACCGCGTTTGAAGCGTCAGTTCAAGCAGATTTTTACCATGAACCAATACACGGCACGCGTGCGCTCAGAAATAGTTGAAATTTACAAGAAGTCAATTGTGAAAACTCAACCAGTGTTGAGAGGTCCCCAAGAACATCCCAAAAACGCCGTTCTCAGCAGTTGGGCATGGCTCGGTCCACTTTACAACGGATTATTCGCATTGATTTGCATTTGTTCCCGTACAAAATTCAATTGACGCAAAGAATGTTGCCTGCGGACACGCCTCGTCGATTGGAATGGGCCCAAAGGGTCCGTCGAATATGGGCAACCCTGTATTTCCGATATTTTTTGCTTTCATTTAATAAAATTTGAAAAAAAAAGTAAGAATGATGGCTTTAGACTTTGTTGCAGTTTTTTTTATCTCACCCTGTATAGGTCAACGATATTGTTTATCCTCCATATAATTGTACCTCCCGACATTCGGTATTTTTTGTGATTTTAGGTTCTTTTTTCAATGGCATTGTCTGAAATTCTACACATGAAGTTCCCTCTGAGTTTTCACCTCTCCCCACCCCTGAAGGAGAATTTTTCATATAGGTCCACCATTTCGTATAACCACCATACAATGGTGCCCCCCCCCCACACCGATATTCGGTATTTTTATGATTTTAGCCACATTTTTCAATGGAATAGTCTGAAAATCCACAAAAGGAGTTCCCTTTGAGTACTTTACCCCCTGCAAGAGAATTGTCTACAACGTAGATCTACGTTTTAGTATGGCTCCCATATAACACTACCCCCAGATTTTTGGTATTTTCAGGATTTTCACGACATTATTTACCGGAATTGCGTCAAATTTCGTTATTGAAGTTCGTAATGGGTACCACAACCTATGACAGCAAATTGTGCAGGTCCACGTCTTAGCATAGCCCCCAAACAACGGTAGCTCCATTTATTCGATATTTTGATGATATTAGCGGCATTATTCACCGGAATTGTTTCGAATTTCGTTTTTGAAATTCGGAATCGTTACTATAGCCTTTAAAAAAAAATTTCCAACGGTTTTTTTTTTTTTAATTTTCAAGTTTTTTTCCGAATGGAGGGTCGGCGGGCCGAACTTAGCTGATTTTTTACATGTTTCTACTAACACAAGATCTGCTGTGAAGATGGGAAATATCGGCCCACTCCTTCTGGTACCTCCCCCCCCACAAAGGGTTAACATTTTGAATATCCATGAAGCTCATTAGAAGCGAAATTAACATCCGATTCTATTCAGACTTGGCACAAATCAATATTTCTATCAACACTAGCTCTGTTATAAAGATGGTAGAGATCGGACCATTTCTTCTGGTACCTCCCACACAAAGGCTCAAAGTTTTGAATAACCCAAACGATTATAAAATCCGAAATAGGCATCCGGTTCTCTTCATAATTCACACATGTCATTATTATACCTTCCACCATGGTATGGAGGGTATATTAAGTTTGTCATTCCGTTTGTAACACCTCGAAATACACATTTTAGACCCCATAAAGTATATATATATATATATATATATATATATATATTATATATATATATATATATATATATATATATATATATATATATATATATATATATATATATATATATTATATATATATATATATATATATATATATTCTTGATCAGCATAAAATTCTATGTCTATGATTTAGGGATGTCCGTCCGTCTATCCGTCTGTCCGTCTGTCCGAAATCACTCTAGCTTCCGAACGAATTGAAGTAGATTGATAAAATTTTACTTAAATGTATGTTATGTCTGCAGGACTTTTGATATTGAAAATGGGCCATGTAGGTCCACGTTTTGGTACAGCTCCCACACAACGGTACCTCCCGATATTCGGTATTTTGATGATCTTAGCGACATTATTCACCGGAATTGTTTTAAATTTGGTATTTGAAGTTCGTAGTGGATACTACAGCCTATGACAGAAAATTGTCTGTGCAGGAGGTTCACGTCTTCATATGGCCCCCATATAACCGTACCTCCCGATATTCGGAATTTTGATGATTTTAGCGACATTATTCACCGGAATTGTTTCAAATTTGGTATTTGAAGTTTGAAATGGATACTACAGCATAAAACAGAAAATGGGCCATGTAGGTCCACGTCTTCGTATAGCCCCCATACAACGGTATCTTCCTATATTCGGTATTTTGATGATTTTTAGCGACATTACTCACCGGAATTGTTTTAAATTTGGTATT